CTCCATAAGCCTATTAATGCATCATATGCAATATATACCACTTTCCATAAACATATTAAAATATCATACACGATTTATAACGCTATTCCTCTTAAGGCTATATTTGTCTCTTTACGGATAATACTATTCCTCTTAAGGCTATGTTTGTCTCTTTACGTATGCTAACTTAATTATGAGAGGTTCTTTTTACACTCGAGAGATGGATCATAATTTGTAGGTGTAACGCCCCTGCCTCGGTCATATTTCTACTACCCAAGTAGGATATCGGACGAAGCGCGTTACGCCGACATACCCTAAACTCTAAGTAGTTCTCTTATGTATTCTTAGAACTTTAACGAGTACATTACGTATATAAATCCTTAAGATAAAATTTACATAACATAATTAAATACATTAATAAAACATTACGAGCAATATTCCATTTCTCACGAACTCTATACCCCAAATTTACGGACAAAATAAAAACTAATATATGGTGCCTCATATGAGCCGGTTAGGAGGAGACAGTACGCATTCGTACCAACTTGTCTTTTTTCTATCACAACATAAAAAAAATAACAACGAGTGAGCCGAAGCTCGGTAAGTAGGGTGATACACGTGATATGCAATGTTGTTTTAACTTCCCACCATAAGCATAATTTTAATCTCGGGTACCACAGGTATTAGCCGATCTGCTCTATTTATCATCCGGGTGGTCCGTAGATCACCTTCGTTATAACGAAATTACCTCTCGTTGTAACTACCGTTAGTAGGAATCCATCATCTAATAGTGTAAGCACACGGCTTGGTTTCATCTAGATGATCCTCGGATCATCTTCTGCTACAACGGAATTATCCGTCGTTGCAACTGCTATTAGTGGGAATCCATCGTCTAATAGTGCAAGCACACGACCTAGAGTACTAGACTACTAATACCCATTTATTCTAGTTAGGTTATCAAACTTAGATATATAAACCATTTCTCAATCAATTGACTTATCTTAAACCACCCACTATGCACATGATGCACGTGATGACATATTTAATCACATTCAACCAAATTCGGATACCAACCCTTCATTCTCATGCCATACTCATGGTCCAACCCACACTCGGAATTTATCCATTGCTCACATACCAATCATGATACCCACAGTGGGAACACAATCTCCGCTCATTAATATTGTTCATTAGTTTCATTAATATTTAAAAGAAGGTCCAAGTCCATTTACTTTAATCCGAGCCCATTAACTTTATCCTAGGTCTATTGACTCTATTTAATTTCATTTTATTTAGTCCAAGCTCATTTAGTTTATTCCAAACCTATTAATTTTGTCCAAGTCTAATTGTTTTGGTTTTAGGGTTTATTATCGGGCAACTCCTAATCGAGTAAATAATTTTCTAATTTTAGAACATAATTAAATCTTACTCATTTTATTTTAGATACTAGACATATTTATTTATAACATATCCAAAAATTACATCTAAATACCAAGTACACAATTAATTACAAATTTTTGAAATTTAGGGAGCAATCTGCCTAATAGTAGTTTGTCTAGAGCTATCCATACTAAATTGGGTATAAATCTTTTTACATGAATCCAATGACCAAGAAATTTTAAAAGAAGTTAGTTGAAACATAGATGAACAACTTTTATGCTTTAAGTTTCACCTAGAAATCGATCTAAAATCCTTGAACATACATCCCAAAATTCGGACAGAATTTACTCCTTATCAACACTAATTTATTAGTTCATTCCAAGCCAACTTTAAACATGTTTTAGTTCACTTAAATTTAGTCCAAGTTTAATCCAACCCATCACCACATACTTGGACATTTTTTAAAACATCATAACATCATAAATCATCACAATAAGGCATCCATACATAGATTTATCCCAAGCATCAAGCATATAACCATTAAAAATTATTACAACCCATGAAATAAACACTAACAAAATAACTTTTAAAAAAATAATTTAAGACATTAATCAGCTAAAAAATGAAACCTACTTACCTCTTTTAGGTTTGATTAGAATTTCCTTAGCTCTTTTTCTTTCCTTTTTCCCTTTCTCTTTCTCTTTTCTTTCTTTCTCTCTTTTTGCTGTTTTTCTCTCTTCAATTTGGCTTCTCTTTTAATTTTGGATGGCTACGGTTTTTGGCCTAAAAATGACAGCCATTTAACCCTCTCTTTCCCTTATATACTCACCTTTTATCCTCTCATTTATTTATATCATAAGTGTTAAAATTTAACTAGGCCAAATGTAAAGTGGAGGAAGCTTGGAAGGCAAAGCTGGCATGTTTTGGAAGTCAAAGGTGATGATTTGGCTTCCAAGCATTTAATTCAAGTGCTTGAGGTCGCTAAAGAAAAACTTAGGCTAAATAAACACATTAATAAGCTGGGTTCATGTAATTAGACATAATTTCTTTCATAAAAAATTTGTAAATTTTCATTTTTAAAATTCGGAATTTCTTTTTCCCCAAAATTTCAGCAGTGTTACCTCCTAACCCATTTATACTAAAATATGCATAACTCTTTCTATATGTATCCAAAAATTATGAAATTTTATATAGAGCTATTAAACACATATACAAACAACTTTTATTCTTTAAGTTTTGCTCAAAAATCAATCTAACAGCATCAAATAAATCTCACAAGATTCAGGCAGATTCTTCTCCCAAAATTTCAGCAGAATGCATTCGAAACAACCCTCACTATAATTGGTATAACTCTTAATGTATAGGTCCAAATATTATAAAATTTTATACAGGCCTATTCAACACATAGATGAACAACTTTTATTCTTTAAGGTTGACCCAAAAATTACCCTAAAGTCCTTAAATAATTCACACAAAACTCGGGCAGAATATAGTCCTTAAAACAATGATTTTGCATATTTGATTTCTTTAATAATTAAATCATTAATCTTAAGCACAATAATTTTAATTTAACATAAATCACATATTTCAAGCATTAATTTATCATGATGAAATGAGAATTATACTTACTCTTAGTATACATATATATAGAATTATTCTAATACACGTCGCATTAGGAATAAAAATTTTTACGGGGGTTACGAGTAGGTACTATCATCAAGATCATGATTATAAGATTCTCCACCACCATTCGATCAACCAGCAAGAACAAGTTCATTCATCTATTCATAAACGGAGAATCTACAACCTCATAATATCCATTACCAACAAGTACTTTGCCCCAACCTTCGTGATCCTTTGAAATCTGAAGAGTAGCCAAATCATGTAACGAGACGTATTAGTACTAGGAAACCGATTATAGGACTTGACTTGTGGATTAAATCCTATGTACATCCGGTTTGAAATCTAACAGCATGTATCGCATAAAATATTTAACCATTAGTTATTCATTTATTTTTTCAACACCATCTATAACTTAGTTTCTTCTTATAAATAAAAACAATTGATTAATAATATCACTTCTATCATTATTTAAAATTAAATAATTTTAAAACGCAACATTATATATATAAAAAAATATAATTTCTTTCGTTATTTATATTTTGTATATATAGTTTTCACAAGACAACATTATATATATATAGTATGATAGGTAGTGTATGATATTTATCAGTCATTGTTATTTTAATGAGCTTTACATGTTATTTCTCTTTTTTTTTTAAAAAAAAAAAAAAGCAAAGGAAAACAGAAAAGAGCTAATAAACCAAAATTAAATATAAAGTTAGTTATACATTATTGATGTTGTATCATATGAAAAGAATGTTTTAAGTCTTGATGGAAGGTAGTTGGAATTTTGGATTTTGTTTTGGTGGGTTCATGGGTTCAAACTCCAATAAATACAAACTAATTTTTACGTAACCACTGTTTGATGATTTCGTAAAGGATAGTTGGGATTTTTTACTTTCCTATAATTTGTTGTAAGGATAACAGAAAAATATATGTTGGGTTCGGGGTGGTCAAATTTCTACCCAGCAAGGTATTGACTAGAAAAGTCAAACTATTTGAGTTATTCCAACTTGCATTAAAAATATAGATAAAGGAGAAGAATGAAATCCTACGACACTTCACTGTTTACAAAATCTTTATAAGCTCGTCATCAAGATGAGACGGATTTATTAGCCTCAGAATTCAATTCTTCCCTTCCACAATTATTACATCAATCAAATTGTAATTTTTAAGTTGTTTATGTTCTCTAATATACTTCTCTATCAATTATTTTTGTTAAAATTGACAGTTGTTTGAACAATACATGAGTAATTTCTAAAATAATTAACAAAAATATCATTTTAAATAAATATATGTTGGTGCAGGAATTCGAATCTCAATAAATCTAGTTATATAAATTATCACTTTTAGCACACATGAACATTAATATTATCATTTGTTTATTTAAGGAATATATTCATTATGTGTTGCTCATGTGATTACTAATTTGAATGAAAATAGTTGACGAATAGAAAGAAATTAAATATTACAATTGATTATTTTTTTTAAGAAAATATTATTGGTAAATAATATAATATATAAGGGCATCTGGATAGATTTTGTTTTTTCCCAAAAATTTAAATGATTCATTCTTTCTCAAGAGTTTTTTTTTTAATTATTATTATTATTATTATTATGACAACAATAGGTATATGTTAATGTTCAATGGACACATAGATTTTTTTTTTTTTTTTTAAAAAAAAATGCTCATTCTTGTCAACAAATCTATCGAATCATAGAAAGTTCCAAATTTAGCAAAACAAGAGGCTAGTGCTTGCCCCTGGTTTCAAGTGAAAGTCAAGGTTAATTCTCAGCCCACTGAAATCTACCGTCCAGAATATACATTATCTGGCTGGCCAAGTCATTCTCCTAAGTTGTCTGCTCTTATAATACTACACTATATATATGCAAAATAATACCTCTATATGTGTGCATAATGATCAATACAACAGTTAGCTTATTTTGTGAAGTTGAAGGAGGACATTAAAACATCAATTTTGCATATAGCAGCAAAAGCAAAAACCTTCCGAATTCCAATGGGGCGTTGGATGAAACCAGAGGTAAGCAAGCATAACCATCAACTATTATATAATTCTATAAAGCTCATGGGCTTAAAGGGCTGGAGCGTTACCATCTGGGCTAGGTTCTCGTGCCTTTGATGTTGTTGTATCTCATGGGCTTAAGTTTTTTTTGTGCTGCCAGATCTACCCACTGTTGGCTGCAATGACCTGCGTTACAAGTTTGTGCATCTTTCAGCTTACAAGGAACGTTTTACAGAACCCTGATGTCAGGTATGGACCAATAAACTCTTACGCTCACAAAAATACTCTATTTTTCATTTTGTTAATCATTTTTTCCTTGGCTGGAATTGATTAACAGAATCAACAAAGCAAACCGTGGCATGGGAGTGCTAGAAAACAAAGAGGAAGGGGAGAGGTATGCAGAACATGGCCTGCGCAGATTCTTGAGAACTCGCCCACCTGAAGTCATGCCTGCTATCAACCACTTCTTTACTGAAGATAAATAAATAAAAATCAGCTTAAACTATATATGATCCCTGAAGCTAGCAACTTCAATTTTTCTTGTTTTTAATGATTATTACAGTGTGTGAATTCAATTTGTGGTTTTCTAAATGTTATAAGAAAATGAGACATGAATTTGCTTCGTTTGCTAGAGTTTGCGGATAACATTTTTTATTCAAGAATGCTTGTTTGGTTCTTTCAATTTTACAATTACTCTATATCTTATAAATCGTGGAAAGTTTAGAATCAACTCTTTATTCTCCAGAGGAAAAAAAAGTATAATACTAAATTCCTTTAGCCAGCATGTATTGCTTCTTTGGTTGTTCGGGTTATTGTCAGTCGGTTTATATATTATTAATTAATATTAATTAATTTAATAAACAAAACTAAAAGAAGTGAGGTATTCACTATTCATTTACTATAGCTTGGCTTTTTGGTTATTTCTTTGAATTTTTATGGGCAATGATATGAAAATTATACAAATTTTTATACTCTGGTTCCTAATATTTCAAACTTTTTTTTTAATCTATATCTTTATTTTATGATGCATTTTGGTCCCCGAGTGTAAAGAGGAGGGAGGAAAGAAGAGAGAGACGGGAGGAGAGAAAAGCATCGAGTCAACCTTATTTCGGTCACTTTGGCTGGCAAAACTCTATTAGATTTTTTTTATCTTTGAGAGTTGAGTTTGTTAATAGTAGTTTTAAACTATTAAATGATGAGAGGATGTAGATCGGAGTCAAAAAAGAGAAAAAAAATCCTATTTGATTATGTTTTTTCTTTTTCTTTTTTTGTTTTAATGTGCATTAAAATGAGTTTTAAGGCTTTAAAATGTTTATTGACTTTATTTTAATCATTTAAAGGTGTTTAGAAGAAAAAAATAATGGCAACATTGATTTTTTAGGGGTATGAAAATGGACTCTCGATTTTCCGACGAAGCTTAAGCTCGTCGGAAGTTGCAGCTTTTTTTTTCTTGGGCTAGCACATGTCTAACCCTTTTTTTTCCTTTGGGCGCCAGCAGCTCAAGCTCGGAGTGGAGTAGACTGGAGCGACTCGGTGCACGAGCCTAGCTCACGGATCCACCATCGTTGGGCTAGGTTAGGTCGGTCGCACATCTACCCTCTTTTTCCTTTTTCTTTTTGTTTTTTCTTTCAATAATTTATTTTTATATTTTTTATCATGAAATTAAGTGTGAAAAAATAGAAAATAGATCATTATTTTTTTTATTTTTACGTTTAGTTTGACGTAATAGAATATATATGATATATATTTTTAATATTTTAGTTTGGATATATATATATATATATATATATATATTATTCTTATTGTTTAAATTTTATTTCTTTAATTTTTTGTTTCTTATTAAAATTCTCATTCAATTAATTTTTTCATTTTTTTATATAATTTTAGTTAATAAATTTTTTTTTATAAATGAAATTTGAAATAAAAATTTGGAACGCGATTGTGTTATTTTTAAAAATATATTATTATTATTTATACGATTAATTATTTTTTTATAATTGTTAAATGAGACTAGCGTAGTTGCATGTATAAGAAAATGAGCCAACTTGGTCAATCTATCAATAATTACCCATATCCTATTAGCTTCCTTTTCAAACCGATGTACTCCAAGTATGAAATCCACGGTGATATGCTCTCATTTCGATTCGGGTATGTTAAAGGGTCTCAACAATCATGATGGCCTTTGATGCTCAATCTTAACTTGTTGACATGTTAAGCATCTTGCTACAAAATCAATAGTATTTTGCTTCATCCTTTTTCATTAATAGTTTTTCTTTCAAATCTTGATACATTTTAATACCTCTTGGATGGATGAAATAGGGTGTAGCATGAGTTTCCTCCAAAATATCCTCTCGAAGCTCCTTATTTATAGGAACACATAACTTTTCTTGATAGTGCCAAATGCCTTCACTATTGATGGCATATTATGTGATCTTTCCTTTAGCTACATCTTTCCGAACTTTCATCAAATCCGAATCCTATAGCTGATCATCTTTAATTCTCTCGCTTTATGTTGGGTTATAGCATCATTGCACCTAACATCATATCACGATCTACTCTTAGTACAAGTTCTAACCGTAACATTTCCATGTCCTTAACAATTTAGACCTTCATAGCTGCTTAATGTCTTTCATCTTAAAGTATCCACCATGATATTTACTTTACTAGGATGGTAGCGGAAAGCAATATCATGATCATTTAATAATTTAAACCACCTCTCTTACCTCATGCTTAACTCCTTATAGGTGAAGATACACTAAAGGCTCTTATGATCGATGTAGATGTTACACTTAACCCAATACAAGTAATGTCTCTAAATTTTCAAGGTAAAAATCGTAGCGACTAATTCTAAGTAGTGATCGAGATAGTTCTTGTAGTCTTTTAATTACCTAGATACACGGACAATGACTCTCCCATGTTGCATCAAAACTGCATCGAGTCTAATTCCCGATGCATCAATATAGACTAAGAAGTCTTCATCATCCTTTGATAGAGCTAAAATAGATATTGTAGTTAACCTCGAACTTTAGCTTTTGAAGGCTCCTTTCACAATCATCACCCCACTCAAACTTAGCATTATTCCTTATCGGTTTAGTTAGTGGATCAATTATCTTAGAAAATCCTTCTATGAACTTCCTATAGTACCCTACCATGCCAATGAAACTCCTTACTTCGATACATTCTTAGGTTGTTTCCATTCTTATACTACTTGCACTTTCGTAGGATCAACCATCACCTTTTTCATGAAAATAACATATCCAAGGAATGTTACTTGCTCAAGCCAAAATGCACTTCTTAAGCTTAACATATAATTTGTGCACTCGTAAGGTTTGTAGTGCCCTAGCTAGATGCTTCACATGCTCATCATGAGTCTTAGAGTATATGAAGATATCATTAATGAAGACTATGATAAAATTATCTAAGTACTCATAGAATACTTGACTCATCAAGTCCATGAATACGAGTTGGTGTATTGGTTAACTCGAATGGAATTACAAGGAACTCATGGTGGCCATATTGAGTTTTGAAGGCCATCTTCTTAATGTCATCTTCCCCGATCCTTAACCGATGATACCTTGGCTGTAAATTGATCTTGGAGACGCCGAAATTCCTCTTAACTAGTCAAATAAATCATCAATATGGGGAAGTGGATACTTGTTCTTAACGATCACTTAATTTAAGTCTCGATAATCAATGCATAATCGCAGTGACCCATCATTTTTTTTTACAAAAAGTACTAGTTCTTTCCATAGAGAACGGGTAGGCCGGATATAGCCTTTATCTAGCATTCTTGTAATCGAATCTTTAACTCCTTTAATTATACTAGGGTTATCCTGTATGAGGCCTTTGATATCGGTGTTGTTCTCGATTCTAATTTAATCTCAAGATCAATTTCTCTCCTAGGGGTCAATCTTGATAAACTCGTCGGGAATGATAAACAATCGTCGGGAAAGACATCAAGGAAGTCGTGCACTACCTTAATATCTTTTAGTTTCGAGCTCTCATCCTTAACGATGTAAATCATACTCACCAAGCACCACCGAACACCCCCATTTGCATTAACTTCTAGGCCATCATTATTGAGATAATGTTTACCGATGCAATCTTAGTCTCGGCTAACAACTCAAAAGGTTGCTCTCCCAACCGTTGGAAGATTACCTTTTGTCCCATATAATTAATTAATGCAAAATTCTTAAACAAGCAATTCATGCCCAAGATAACATCATTGGTCCTATAAGTGATATTTAGTGTTGGTAGCAAAGTTGTCTCCAAATTCATGCAATCTCCTTCACAAATTTAGAGAGTTTCAAATTCAATAATAAAATCTATAGTGGGCTTTTTCTTAATGATAGTCTCATTAGTCATAGGCACTCGTCATTTTTTATATGATTAAAAGAGGTTCTTGTTAGATTTTGTAACTATATAAAGATAACAAATGTGTATGCCTCATGTCTTTAGAGTAGCCTAAAGATAGGTAGGTTTATCTAGACATGTTTGAGCAAGGTTGGCTAACTCGACTTCTTCAAAAGATCCCATCATGGGCTTAAGTTTAATCATAATAGGAGTTACTAGAAGCTTTATTCTCATACATAAGGGTTACCGGGTTTTTCTTTGTAATCTCATACATAAGGATCAATTTAACACATCGGTGGAGGGATAGGTTGTGGAAGCTCTAAGATCATAGTCCCTCGAGTGCCACCTTTTTCCTTCTAATCTTAGGTTATGAGACTAGAGAGTGTATAGGTTAAAATTATTCTTGTGTATCTGCTAGTGTGTGCAAAAATGCCATTCTTCACACACAAAGATAAACATCACAAAAGAAAAAAAGCACCAAAATATACACAAGTATACCAGGATAAAAGATATGCATAGAACAAAACAATTCTAAAAAACAAGAAATATCATAAGCTTTAACCCTTAGCTAAAGCCCTTAGCTCAAGTGGAGTAACCATTCTATCACTTGGTGATCTCTCAAGCAATTACAAAAATATATATGCATAATGTTGGAAAGATATGGGGTTGCCACTCATTTTTTTAAAAAAAATAAAAACTAAAAAGAACCTAACAATGGTTTAAAGAGTTCTAAGTAAGGAGGTTGATTACACAAATAAGAAAGACTACAGATCACTTGGTATTCTCTTTCAATGAGGTTATCTTATACTTCTAGCTTATGAGAATTCATTCATGCAAGTCTATTTTTATGTCCATTCATCTATCTTGATTTATAAGTTTGAATATTTTGACATTTTCTAACTAATCTTGATAAGGTGATTTGGAGATGGAAAAAGACTTAGTCTTTAACCAATTTTGTTATCGCACCATTGAAGCCTACTTAAAAAAGTAAAAGTCGGACCTTAAAGCTCATTACCAATTGAACAATCCACCCAAGTACAATAAATAAATAAAAATAAAATAGAACTAACATGGACTATAGACCCAAATTTACGTGTCAAAACATGAACTAAAAATTACAATTCTAAGATTTTTTTTAAAAAAATCTAAGAATAAGGAGATGGGCCCCTAATCTATATCCATTTGCTATGCCACATTTAAAATACTAAGATTAGAATCAAGGTCCAAGGTCTATTTTAAAGTCAAGTCTCGCTAGATAAATTAGTGCAACCTAGAAAATAAAATAAGTTAACATTAAACCAAATAAGCAATAATAATAATAATAATAATAATCTAAAAATAGTTATCATTAGAAAAAAGTCGATCTTAGGTCTTAAACCTATCGCATCCGGACTAACTTAAGCTGGCATCATATAAAATAAGCATACAAAGTACAAGACATAATAAATTTAACATGTAAATAGTACGAGTCACATAAGACGATACCATGGAAAATAAATAGCCAATAGGCCTCCAGTAAAGTCCTTGACCTATTAATTCTTATTAGTACCAATGACCTTCTAGCTCATTGGTAGTGGCCTCTTGCTTATATGCAAGAGCTCACGGGTTCAAATCATAGTCCTACAAGGAGTCTTGAGTGTGTGAGTAAAAAAAATAAAAAATAAAAAAATAAAAATAAATTAATTCTTATTAGTTTATTTTAGTTTTCTAGAAAAATATATTACTAGCCTATTGCTAACTTCATCGACCTACAATTTCTTAGAAATTTTTATATAAAAAATAAAAATATTATGTAGTACGTCAAACCATTCATCCCTTTTTATTAAAAATAATAACAATTAAATAGCATTAAAGATAATAATATATTAAAACTAAAAATTCACAAATCTCTAACCCAATCGAATTAAATTTAAAAACACAAAAATCTTACAAAGAATTTAAAATCATATCCCTTTTATATCTAATAAAAATTGCGAGTATAACAAGTTCTAATTTTTTTTTAATTATACCTTTTAATCAAGATATTTTAATCCAATAAGCATACAAATTTCATCTTAATCACATAATTGGCATGAAAAGCGTATTAATCAATCAAGTAATCATACAATATAACAAAATTTGGATGATGATTAAATAAAAAAAAATCGAATATGTAGGGGTGTAATTACTGAAATCAAAAGTTAAAGACCAAACTGGATAAAAGTTTACCATAGGCAGTGGAAGTTTAGGCAGCGCTTGTGGGCTCTGTGGATGTTAGAATGAAATGTTTTTTTGCCGGTTTGGAATTGTACTGGCCAGACGCGTGTTACCAAAAAATAGACTAGTAGAGAGCGGCGTTAGTTTCTTCTCGACTGCTATTTTGACTCCTTTTTCGAACTATTAGGTTTTATTTTCTAGATGGCAGTGTGTGTGAGTGTTGGTATGGTATTATTTATTTATAGAAAATCCGAAGTCAATTTAACTATTTTTTTCCTATTTTGATTTGGGTCAAAGGACTAGACAGCCAGGCTTGAGCGTAGCTCGCCTGGGCCTCGAGCTTGAACAGATTTGGTGCGCAGTCCAGGCCTGATTTTTTTTCTTTTTTCTAATTTGTTTATATTCTTCTTCTTCTTCTTCTTCTTCTTTTTTTTGGGGTGGGGTGGGGGGTGGGGCGGTTGTGTTGTTAAAATATCCCGTCATATATATCAAACATGCATTCAAAATATACTGTTTCAACACAGAAAACTGGTATCATAGCTTCAATTGATTTAAATATTGGAAATGAGAGCAAAACCAGGTAGAGTATATCTTCGGAGGGCCTCACGAAATTCGTATAATTTTGTGAAATTCTTGTTTCACCAACAAACAACCGCATCCTAGAGATTGATCACTCCTTATTTTGAAAAACTCTTGCCCCACTTCTGTACTTATCAGCTAACCTAGCTAGACTTTACCTACGAAAAACAATGAAATTGGGAAAATTATTTTGATTTTATTGTTAGAACAAAGTATTTATGTATTTCTCCCTATAGTTTAAGTTAATGTTCTACTTCATTCCATGTTGTTGTTTTAAATTATCTTTTTATTTATTTTTTTTAACTTTGATTCTTCGAATTGTCGCAATGTAGAAAATTTATCATAGTAGACTATGTAGACAATATTTATCCCATCTTGGATAAATTATATTAGATTTCTACTCTTTATAAAATGTATCACGAAGGCCTTTAAAATTCATAAGAAAATAACTTCTAAATAATCACAAGGAGAAATGGGCAAAGTGATTCAAAAAAAAAAAAAAAAAAAAGGGGGAAAGCACACATGAAATTATGGTAGCACTATAAGCAAAATTTGATCCCATCATATGAATTTTTATTTAATTAATGATCCAAATTAATAATTACTATAAGAATAATGATTTCTCAAAATCTCATTTACAGCTCTTTCACAACGTAAATTGGATTTAAAGAAAAATTCCCATGACATTTAATTTAATTATGGTCTAAATTTGCTCCATATGCCGTTTCCTAAATTATCCCTTAACTCTAAATTTGCTCTATACACCGTTTCCTAAATTATCCCTTGACTCTCCGTTTGATTTGTATCTGATTTAATTATGGTCTAAATTTGCTCCATACACCGTTTCCTAAATTTTTCCTTAACTCTCCGCTTGACTTGTATTTGATTTTTGTGTATTGGCTATTATAAGAATACATTGTAAACTATTCTTTCTAGTTTTAAAAATGAACTAATTAATCTTTTTTTATTTCAAAAACTAATTTTTTAGTTTTTTATATTTTTAAATTTTCGTATTACTTGGTTATTTTTGCGTTTTTCAATTTATTTTGATTAAAAAAAAAAGAAATAAAAAATATAGAAAGATCGATTAAAATAAGATACTATTTTATAAAATAAAATAGTACTAAATTAAAATGGCCAACACTGATTAAAGAATACATAATTAATTTTTAAAATAAAAAAAATTAATCAGTTTGTTCCTTGAAAGTAGAGGGACTAATTATAACTATCCTTATCTTTGTCAAATGTTTGGTTACGGTACAGGTTTTATTTAGAGGCTAAAAAGGTGACTTTCAAGTTACCGTAGAAGGCACATTGTTGCCATATTTCAACATCATTGTCTTTGAATGGATGGCCAACTCCTCCTTATTTGTAGCTTTCCTGTACTACTGTCTGCTTCCGAGCAGAGTTTTGTGAAGTTTCCTTTGTTTTCTCAGCCCCAAAAAAAAAAAAAAAAAATCTAAATAGATTATATATATATATGTCCTGCCTCTTTGCATTCCTTTATTCTCCCAATAATTATCCTTTCGTTTCCCAACATGGGTTTTTCTCAAAACTTGCTTTTGGTCATCACAGCTGCAGTGGCCCTTGTTGGTGTTGCTACAGCTTGCTCTAATGGACAATGCAGGGTTTGTGCCTTGGATCTCTTTTACATGCATGTGATCAAGAAATTAACGGTTTTTTTTTTTTTTTTTTTTTTTTTAATATTCAACTTTTTTTCCCTATATATAGCTGCTTGATGAATGTTCATCGAACCAAGATTGTGAAGCTGGACTCTATTGTTTCTCATGCTCGCTAGGATTTTCAGGCACTAGATGTGTTAGATCAACCATCACAGACCAATTCAAGCTTCTGGTACTTCTCTAACTCTCTTCCTTAATTTTTCGTTTGCAAGGAGGCATCTTTTTCTTGTTCATGAGTTTGTTAGCCAATTAATATTTAGTTCAAACATACGAGTGGTTGGTTTCTTTTGCATTTCATACTCTTGGCATTTAGTACTGCATGTTACATGATCATATCATGAAGATGGGAAGATAAAATGCTATGCTATAATCTAAAAGAAACAAAAGAAAAAGAAAAGGATAGGGGCGTTACCTTTTTTCCAATAACTGAAAATTGGAATGGAAATGTTGTCTATCAACAAAGAAATTTCATTTCTTCCACCTGGAATATATATGCATTTGGGCAGTTTCTAGGAAGGTCATCTGTCGCAACCAAGCGGACTTCACACCGCACCACGCAATTTGTACGATTTAGGATGGTTAGTGCGCAGTTGATATTGAAATGGAGGGTCTGGCTTGGCCCACCAGGCCCGTTTAGTAATAAATGGATATCTCCTTAAGAAAAGGGCCCTCGTGTAAGATGGCGGAGTAGCAACTGAAATTTCAGTGACTCTTTGATATATTTGCTTCTTGATGAGAGCAATTGATGGATAAATTTGTACCCCAAAAAAACCAACAATTTCAAGCCTTAGGTTATGAGGGGAATTATTTAAAACATAAAGTTATTGACTTTGTTAATGCTAATTGCTAGGTTATGGACTAAGAGGGAATGAGGATTATAATAAAGCTGAAATTTCGTTTCATTGACTAAAACAAAGCCAAAATCATTGTTCATACATGTTTTGCATTCTCTCTATTTTTATTATTTATTTACTCTTTATGGTGACTAGATTTTCTATTTATTTAATGTGCTTGCTATTATTTGTCCAAAAATATGCACTTTGATCCCTCTTTTTTTATTTTTTTTGTTGTAACTTTATTTTTTATTCATTTTGGTTCCCGCATACTAAAAGGAGAGAGAAATGAGGGAGAGAGAAGGGAGGGGGAGAGAGAGAGAGGATCGGTGAAGCCCATTTCATCGACCCTAATGGTCGAGTCTACCTCCATTTTGTGTGCATCAAAGATTAGAATCGACAATAAGGGATAAAATGGTTGGAGATAAATTGAAATCCAAAAATATTTTGAGTTTTTTTTTATTTTAATTTAATTTTTTATATACTTTATGTGTATTAAAATGATTTTAAGGTGTTTTTAAACAAAAAAAATAGGGTTGAATTTGATTTATAGAGATCGAAAATGATAAAACCCGATTTTCTAACGACTTTCTAGCAGATCAATGTTGCCAACTAATTTTTTTTTTGGCAAAACTTTCCACAGGCGGTTGCATTAGGCCAAGGCATGCAGGCCAATTGCGCTGGGCCTAGATGCATGAGCCTGGTCGTTGTTTTTTTTCTTTTTTCTTTTTTAATTAAGAATTTTTAGGTAAAAATTATGAAATAGTGAACATTATTATTTATTTTTATTTGTGTTTTTCATGGAGCATAGCGAGGATAAAAACATGTGTACTATCTTTTTATATTTTAAGATTAATATATATTTCAGATTATAATACTTCTATTATTTAAAATTTATTCATTGAATTTTTCATTTCTTATGAAAATTCTCATCCAATTAATATTTTTTATATATGAAATTTTATTTACAGATAATTAAGATTTATTTGTTTCTATATTTACATTTTAGAATAAAATTTTAAAATATGATTTAAAAAATAAATTAATATAATTTATATCATGAATTCTTAAATTTTTTAAATGATAGTTGCATAAATATAAACATATAATTATTTTAATGTAAAAGGTTAAAAGTGTATTTTATATAATTTATCTTAGGTTACTTGAATATAATCAAGATGTGTGTGTGTGTGTAACACTATTGTATTATTATTTTTATTAAAAATTAACTATATATTTTCACACATAACACTAACTATTTGCTATAAATATTTTTTAAAAAAAGAACCATCTAATTATTCAAATATAATTTTTTATCCTAACATTATTAATTAGTTTGTAAATAAATATTTATAGATCAAATACATATACTTTCAAAAAATAATATTTGCATCAGCATTAAATAAAAATAAAAATTTATTTTTTATTAGTTAATTTTTATACAAGTCTATAAATTAATTATAAATTAATTTTTTTAAATGCATTCTTATGAAAAATATATTTTTAAAGTATTTTTTAATTCTTAATTAATATTTTAGTGTAAATTATTAGAAGCTTTTATTTAAGAATCACGGCATGAAAAAGACTAAATCATATTTTTTTATATAGAAAATTTATGAAAAGCATTAAAATAAAAGTTAATTAAATAAAAAATTATAATGAAAAATTTATGAAATTTTGAAATGATTTTATTTTGTCCGACTCGCAGTGAAAATTGGATAAGAATCTAGTTGGATAACAATCTAGTAACAACTAATACATGTTTTTTTTTTTTTTTTCGTTTTTTCCTCTTATTTATAGAACAATTCTCTGCCTTTCAACAAATATGCATTTTTGACTACCCACAATGCCTATGCTATTGATGGATACCCATCTCACACCGGAGTCCCTCGAATCACATTTACCAATCAAGAAGACAGCATCACAGAACAGCTAAATGTAAATTTTTTTTTCCTCTCTAAACTTTTTCTTTTGCCTTGTACCATGTTAGAACCTCGACTTTGTCAATTAACAAGTGCCATTAATTATTTGACTACAGAATGGAGCTCGAGCCTTGATGCTTGATACCTATGATTTCCGAGGAGATGTATGGTTATGCCATTCTTTTCAAGGACAGTGTCATGACTATACTGCATTTGTAAGCACATTATTTCCTACTAACCAAGATATATGAGATTGTTTTTTTCTCTGAAGTGTGAAAATGCTGATGTTTGGCCCTCTTCAGGGTCCAGCTATTGACACTCTTAAGGAAATTGAAGCTTTCTTATCGGCAAATCCAACAGAAATTGTTACGATAATTTTGGAAGATTATGTTCAAGCACCAAATGGATTGACAAAGATCTTCACTGATGCTGGCTTGATGAAATATTGGTTTCCTATGGCAAACATGCCCAAAAATGGTCAAGATTGGCCGTTAGTTAGTGATATGGTCCAGAACAACCAAAGGCTACTCGTTTTCACTTCAATTCAATCCAAGGAAGCAAGTGAAGGCATTGCTTACCAATGGAATTACATGGTTGAAAATCAATGTAAGAAATATAAACAATACTGCTAATAATTCTTCCAATACTTTCATGAAATAGTAGAATTTGTTGCACCAGATGCTTACAACTTTTGGTTTAACCCATTTGTTTTTTTTTTTTTTTTTTTTGGGCAGATGGGGACGGTGGCATGAAAGGAGGAAGTTGCCCTAACAGAGGAGAGTCACCTCCACTCGATGACAAGAGTAGATCATTGGTGTTGGTAAATTACTTCAGGTCTATTCCAATGAAGCAACTCTCATGTGAGGATAACTCAGGGAATCTCATAAACATGCTGCGTACTTGTGATGGTGCTGCTGCCAGCAGATGGGCAAATTTTGTTGCTGTGGATTATTACAAGGTACACATACCACTTGCAAGTTATCTTCTCGTTCCCCTACAATTACATTCATTCCATTTTTCTGTTCGTCAAATCTAGTTAACGTTAGTAATTGAATAGACAAGATTAAGAGAAACATTAAAAACAAATAAGATCTTTTTTTTTGTTTTGGGACTGCAGAGGAGTGATGGAGGAGGATCATTTCAAGCTGTGGACCTGCTAAATGGCAAGCTATTGTGTGGGTGTGATGATATCCATGCATGTCTGGTAAGTTAAAGCTGGGATTAAGTTTATGAATAACCATATCAAATTTATTTTAATGCTTTCATTTACCAAAGACCTACTTTTTGTTGTTCATTAATCTGATGGACCTGTCATTGCATCAACTTATTATTCTTACTGTTCTGTGTCGTTTGGTTGGAGCATGCTCAAATGAGTTTATCAAACCTCCTAGCCATATCAACTTTTGCGCGATCTAAATCAGGAAAATTTCTCTAACAATATCATGCATTTTGTTCTACTTGCAGCCTGGGTCAACTTCAGGAGCCTGCACTCCCTAATAGTATTGACAGGACATCCGCATTCCAGCCTGTATAGTATAGATTAAGAATTTGGGAGATTTGTATATTGTAACAAAATTACTCCAATAGTACTTGCGAAAATGTGAAACATCGAGTAGCTACAGTGCTGGAGCCAATTAATATAACACCACCCAGATCAAAGAAACTTACTCCAAGTCCAAGAAATTTATGACCCCAAACTCCAGTAATCTGGGCCAGGCTAGCAGATAATCCATTCTAGTACAGCATATGGGCCTCAATTTACAAATCAAGCAAGGATTCAACCTTGTTGGGTGAGCAGGAAAGACATAATTAAAGTACTTTTACAAAAGAAAATGTCTAAACAAAGTACTTAATCTATCTCTGCGGTATAATGGAAATCAATCAAAATGCAAAAAATCTAGGCTTTATGTTATTAAAATGTGGTTTAATAGTTTAGTTCTGAACACTTTTAATTAATAGAGGAATGAGCATCTGGGATGCAGGTTGGCAGCAATAAGACATGAAATTAAGTAAACTTAATAAGAAAACAAAAAACAACCATTGTCTTCCAAGTTTCTTTTGAAGCAAATTAATGTGGCTACTTGCTGCTTTCTGTGTACAATGGGCTACAAAAGAAAGAGTGCTTGAATTATGAACGTAGGTTGGTTAGAAAATGAAATAAAATCTCAAGAGTAATCGACTATATGTGAACTATCTTTTCACTTAACAATGGCTACCAATGGGCATGCAACCAACTGCCTGATTATCCAACACATTGGGCCAAACTAGTAGGGCATGAGTACAGAATACATAGTGGGTTTATCCAAAATTTCAATAATTGAGTTGTTTTGATCTTGATATATCTAGTACTATCCAAATGTTGCAAAAATTTTATTTAATTTTTTTTTTCTCAATTTCTAGACGGAATTCCTATATGCAAATTTGTCTAAGTAGGTTAAAATCAATAGGATCAAGCAATGTAAGTAGGTATCACTTTTACCGGGACAGATTTTCCACAAGGGTGCTACTAAAGAATGGCCTACTCTAGCTATAGGATGCTAAAGAAAGATATGCTTGATTGGTCTAAATTTGACTATTAAGAGCTTTAAGGATTCAAAATGATTTGGCATTCTTAGGATCATAATCTAAAAAGTAAAGACATTCAAGTGATAAACGAAAGGGAATAAGTGATGCCTTGATCATGCCAATTTGACCACAATAAACTCAATTAGTAACACAATCCCCAAAAAAATTATGGCAAATCAACAATTTAATTATATCACCGTCTTCATCGATTTCAGGGAAAATTAACTGCAAATTTGCAATTAGTCAAACATAGAATCCAGGGTTTGAGATTACTTAATCAAAATTTTGTAGGGTTTTTGGTTGCCTGTTAGCCCTAATTATCTTGGTGTGAGGCATGTGAGTAGGTAAGCTCTAGGATGTATCTAAGTACACATGCTAGCAATCTTAAGATATAATGATATTAATTATTTAATTAGTTCTATTATTAAGCATGGTATTCTATGATATCAGATCTGCACGATAATCTCAATAATAGTATCACATTACTAGGAACATGCTTCTATTTTTTGCTTAATTGGTGTGATCCATCCAATAATGGGGTTCATGTTATGGCCTATTATGCATTAGAAAAATATGGGAGAAAAATTAATAATGATTCATCATTGTTCATTTATCTAATTATCAAAATTACACTCATATTTTTTTCTTCTTTTAAGTTGACCGACATACTCTGTTACAGTCTAACATTGACCAGATTAAAAATGTTTGTGTCCAATTTACTAGCATTTGAAGGAAAGCATGCTAAAGTATTATATTAGATGGGAAAACTGATTGCCAGATCGTATTTTAAATGTCTATGAAATATATAAGCTTCTTAATTTACTAGATCTAGGGTGTTTTTTCAATTTTTTTCAGACAAAAGTAAAAGCTTTCTGATGTTTCATCCAAGTAGCCTTGTCACGAAGGGAAAAGCCTGTGCAGAGTATCTAAGTTTTAGCCACAAGACAAAGATTGCGCCATAGGCATTTAGGTAAGGAATTACGAAGTTGGCAATGTAGGCCAGATGGTTTAGACTTTAGAGGGTGTACTCTTTTTTTTATTATTATTATTTATTTTTATGATAATGGTTCAATCTCAAGCTAGATTGTAACAAATAAAATGCTTATTGATTCGTGGATAACTTATAGGAGATGTAGGCTCAATCTTGGTGTGCAAATATTGGCTAGAGAATACTAACTGCTTATTGCATATTCGCATAATTTTTAATCTTCAAAGTGAAATGAACAGGATTCCAACTCCAGACTAACTAGTTTTTTTTTTTTTTTTTTTTTTTTTTTGAAGTTTCTACAAGTGAGTAGTGCACGTCTGCCCTTGCATTTCATATTCAAAACTAATAACAATATCTTGTATTGCCTTCTAAGTTACTAGAGGGTAAAAAGGTTAAGTAACAAGATTACATCACCAAGCACTGTTTAGGCTTTGAATGTATAACCTTCCAATTTCCAATGGTGAAGGGGCCAAAATGATTTTAGCGAAAACATGGTCATGTTGTCTGCTTTTCTTGATTTTCTAAATCAATCCCGGCTCAAGTTTCAGAATTGCAGAGCTTTCGTTGAATGGTATATGGAACCAACAAACTGGATCACCTCTACTTCACCCCAAAATGGGAAAGTAGAGAACCAAATCTAACAATGCTGAAGGAAATTACATCCATATTTGTGTGCGGATCTACAAGAAACTCAAAGTGAAGGAAGGGCATAAATATTTTCTCTTCTGGTACAAAAAAAATTCGTGGAGTTTGGGGCTCACTAACTGTCTGGTACTTGTCAATTGGTGCCCAAATCGTACCAAGGACGATTACGATATGCCCACGAGGGGGTAACGTGCAATCGGGGCATCATTCCCAAAATTTCCATTGTTGTTTCTTGTAGTAGGGCAGCCCCATTGATGCCCCACAAGAGCTGAGATTTGATCCTCAATGTGGCCAAGATGGCACCAGATCACATGGGTTTTGGTACACCCCTTTCCATAACATTAGGTCACCTAATGTGGGCTAAGTGGAAGAAGAGTAAGGGAGGAAAAAAATTATTTAAATTTTGAAACAAGACTGAAAGAAACAACAGCAAAGACAAGCACTTAAGCATCAAAACAAAACGTAATGGGGACCTTAACACATGGGGGTGGCTTTGAGTTTGTGAAAGTGGAGCCAACTAAAAGGTGAGAATCTTTTGCAAAATGTTGGTTGGAAGCACACACTTGGGGCAAAGTCAAGTTCAATTTGATCATAATCCGTAACTTTAGAGGGGGAAAAAAACAGAAAATTATCTCAATCTTTCTTCTTTTCTGTTCCTCGTTATATTAATGTCTAATGTCTATCTTGGTTTATGCACTTTCTAGGAAACTGAAGTTTCCAAAAGGTGACATAATCATCCAATATTCAGAAAAACTAATGCTAAACGCAATGCTGGAAATTCATGCAATGTCATCAGTGACAGTTCGGTCTGTCTGCAATTGCCAACATAAGATGCTAAGATAACATGTTTGGATTTCATTTGAAATTGCTTTCTTTGAACTTAGAAAACATTTTTTTTTTTTTTGTCGATTCAAATGTATTTTTTCAAAAACATATTCACAACATTACTTAAAACAAGCAATGCACATTGTTGAAAACTGAAAACATGAGCTGAGTTTATGTACATTTCTTTCAGAAATGGGATCATTACATTCGTTATTTACAACTAATGATCAACAGTTGTTGCGGGCCAATCAATTAGACAAGATTCCATCAATTGTATGATTGTAACCTCATAATATTGGAAGAGATCATGCATGTTGGATTTGATTGTAATGTTTGCTTTTCCAATACGTCAAGTTAATTGATACAACATGTTTTAGAGTACCCTTGTGGTTGATAATTACAGGAAACGAATTGTCAATTTTCAAATATGGATCTAACATTGGCACCTATTGTCAATATTGATAGGCTCCTTTTCATTTTCTCCCTAATTTAGACAAATTCAAGCATTAGCAATGCTCTAGTTCTTTTCCAGCTTTCCTTCTTCCTTATTGTCAAATTTGTTATTATATGGCTCAAGAGTATCACAATCATTAGGGAAAATCATGCAAATAATTTCCTCAATATCTACTACACAAATAGATGAAATAGTCGAGGACCACAGAACATACACATATAGTCTAGTCCATTCAAGTACATATGAACAATAGGATGATACAGTTAATTAGGAAGAGTAGGTGTTGAACACGCTTTTTAGGACAAAGAATAGGTTTGTCCTCAAACTATAACCCAATTCTCAATTGGGTGTCCCAACGAAGGTATTTCCTATTGAATCCCACATCTATTGGAGATTATCAATTAACTTCGTCTTAAAATTTTTGAAATTAAATACATAAAAATTTTGTCTGTTATGTCATGAAATCACTTTTTTTTTTTTTTTGTCATAAATTTTAATAGAAAGGGTTAATTGGATAATGATTGATAGATGGGGAATCTAATCATAAAATATTTTCTTCTTGGGACTCTATCGTCAATTAATTATAGTAGGAGGCGAAAAATGTCTTTTGCGTTAATTTTAGCCTCAATTGTATGCCCGGATGGTAATTTTCCAATCTATGACCCCATAAAACAATGACAATCCGTTTATGATAATCCATGAATCTGTGGATAGATATAGTATTGAAAGTCACATATTTTTATGGAATTCAGATAAAATATAAGTTAAAAGTTTCAGATATTCAAAATATTTGACCGATTAATATGACATGTTATTTACCGTTTTATCACTATACATATCTTATATCTCAAGCTCTAAAACCTAGGCTCCCCCATTACTTCACCTTTTACCCCTCCTCTCGATTTTCCTCCAACAAACATAGCCAGTAACACCTCCCACCATCAAGCCTCTCTCACAATCCTTCTTCCATGTAAATCAGTATTGTTTTTTGGTTTTAATGGCTACTACGCTTGACAAAAA